TTTTTGTGTCGTTGGCGTTGTAAGCAAAAAACTCCCGGCAAAGAATTGAAGGCAAAACCGCGTATCTCCTTTGAAATCAGACATACAGCATACAGCTCAGTATCCGTTCCAATAAAGAAAACCACAAAAGATGCATAAAAACCACATGATGGATGATAAGGCGCGTGTGAACAATAGGAACACCCTCCCACGCGTTCCGGTAAAGATTAGGTTTGCAGCTGCTTCGAAAGGGGTTGACGTCATTCGAAGCCCTCGTGTGAAGTGCAAACCGCATAATGGAGGATAACGGCGCCTGCGAACAATGCGAAGCACGTTCCTTCTCCACGCGTGTTTCCCGGTAAGGATTAAGGTCCGTTCACACTCTTGCGACCGAGTATCACCGAGGGAGATGAGACCTGTTGAAACCTTTTAAAATTTCTTAAGACGAGAGAACCGACTGGCACTCTGGCGCCATCTATGCGGTGGCTCTGGACGAACTGCATTTCACAAGAGCGAAGGTTTTGCGGGATTTCCAAGGGCAAATGTGCATAATACTTATAAGAAAGGCTCGTTTATAACGTTGACTAAAGTTTTTCGAGCCAAAAAAGAAAGGATAAGGCGTGAGAGAAATAGAAAATATGCCGGACCGCCAAGTTTGCACTGCTACCCAATAAATGGCGCCAGTGTGTCCTCTCGTTGTAAGGCCCGCTTCAGACGGGGCAACTTTTCCAGCAATTTTGAGGTTGCTGGCGGGTCGTTCCCTAGCTTTCCCTAGATCAAAGCGAATTGCTGAGATCGGGTCCGGCTCGAACAAGCGAGCAACTCGAAGCAGTTCGAAGACGTTTGAAGCGACTGCAGCCAATCAGGGACGCGATGTCTTCACGTGACACCCCTGTGGTGGTGATGATGACAGCTGAAGACTTAGTTCTGGTTTGAAATGGATCGTTTTTGGAAATAAATATTTTCAGAAAAATTAGTTAGTATTCTCAACGCTGTTCAAACATATAAGAACGGGATTTTAGCGCTTAGCTGGGCGACTAAATAGTGATATAAAAACCAAATCGGTGAAATAAAAATCAATTCGGTTGCTGCGTGTGAACGCGGACGGCCCCTGTTGCTTGTGTTGCGACGTCAAGTTGCTGGGTGAAATTGCTCCGTCTGAAGCGGGCCTAAGAGATATTAAGAGGTTCCAAGGCACCCGGTTCTAAGAGGTCGCGATTGTCGGAACGGGCCTTTATGGTTGCGTAAGCTACTCCGAGTGGAAATGTACCCAACAGCATAGAAATCACGTAGGGACGTCACCACGTTGTTCAAGTGACGTCGCAATGGGTAGTCGTTGTGGGTGTCATTTACAGCTTCGCTGTCCAACCACCTTCACAGCGTGGATTGGAGCCACAGTTTTCTGCATAAAACGGGGAACTTCTCTATTACATCCTGTCGCACTCCACCTCGCGCGGCCGCGGGGTAGGTTGATGGAACAGGATGGGGCGAATTGTATCTCCCCAGCGACTTCCTCGAGGGCCCGTTTGCCCGAAGCGCTAACCGCGGCTAAAGTTAGCCGCAGTACCTAGGAGAAAGATTTAGAAATCACGTGACTGGCTCGGTATTGATGGGATGCGGGGAAACATGGCGGGGCCCCGGTGAGTGGGCGCCACTCGCTTTGGAACTAATCTGTCGTTGTAGCTGCAATATCGGGCGCGTTAGTCAGGAACGAGTGGTGCAGGAGGCTTTCGCTTTGCCTTACATCACTTAAATCGCAAAGCAACAGCATTGACCTCGCCGCATTTTTTAGATAGTCTTTCGATTCTGGCTATTCCGAAGCCTAAATGAATGAGATAATTATCAGCATGGCAACGTCTTTGGAGAGCGCATTGCCTTGACTCAATCGGTCGTGTATTGATAGCACGCAAAAGCAGACAGCGTCCCAATAAATTTTTTTCTAAATTTCCCAAGCACCGAGGAGAACGCTGAAAGTGCAGTTCTACGGTCCGCGCGCGCTGGCCATTCTCTTATAAAAGATTCGAAGTAAATAATCATAAGGCTTTGACGAACGCGCGTGCAAGGCAAAATTTGTTTTAGACTTTTTGCTTTACAACAATTACTACTGCAGACGGCAGCACGTGCAACGGGTGTAACTACACTCGTAACATGCACCTCGGTGCTTGGGAAATTCAACAAAAGGTCTATTGGGACGCTGTCTGCTTTTGTGTGCTATCAATACCCGGCCGATTGAGTCAAGGCAATCTACTTTCCAAAGACGTTGCCATGCCGACAATTATCGCCTTCATTTAGGCTTAGGAATGGCCACAACCGAAAGACTATCTAAAAAATGGGGCGAGGTCATTGCTCATGCTTTGCGATTTAAGTGATGTAAGGTAAAGCGAAAGCCCCTGCACCATTCGTTGCTGACTAACGCGCCCGATATTGCAGTTACAACGACATATTAGTTTCAAAGCGAACGGCGCTCACACACCGGGGCACCGCCATGTTTCCCCGCATCCCTACCGAGCCAGTGACCTGATTTCAAAATCGCTCTCCTAGGTACTGCGGCTAACTTTAGCTGCGGTCAGTGCTTCGAGCAAACGGGCCTAGGAGTTAATCGATTTTAAGGTATCGACGTTTATCGAAGCAACACTTGTGTGCCTCTTTTGTCGCGGGCCAAATTACGATTGCCCGGTAATGTCACCAACACCAAATTCAGCTGAATAAATATGAATTGAAACAAGCGCGTTTTATTTTGTTTTATCTGAAAAACGCTTACACACGAATATTATTTATTTATTTTTAACCGGAAACACTGCGAAACTAAACTCTGACTTTCTAAGAATTCAGAGTTAAACAAAAATAAACTCCGACAAAGTCCGGATTTTTTGTCAAAAAATAAGCTCCGACAAACTCCGGATTTTTGTCAAAAATAAACTCCGAATTTTCATCAAAAAATAAACTCCGAAAAACATCCTCCGAGTTTGTGAAAAAATGAATTCCAAAAACACGAAATCCTAGATATAATGCAGTTGACAGATTAAAAAAAACAAAATCTTTTGAAGACTGATATCTTCGACGTTCCGTAGCAGAGCGCTCGAAGTATCCTGGATGTACACAGCTGTTTTAGAATGTGGGATGACCGCGTGAGATGGCAGCGAGCCAACTGCCGGCAGACGTAAATAAACGCTTATCCGCCGGACAATCTACTCTCTACATCGCCCTCACGTTTTGCGGCCTTGACATAAAGGCAACCCAAGAAGCAACGAGACGTGCCACGAGGATCGAGTGAATGACGATAACGTATCTGCCATGGCCGTGGACACAAAGGATATGTCAACTGGTGCCTCCATCCGAGAGTTCCCTCGGCCGCCATTTTCCCATTCAAATAAAGAATCGGTTCGAAGTTTTGAATAAGATGACGGATAGTTCTGAGACTTTGGCACCTGGTTCGAACCGCCAGCACAAAATTTAGGTGGAGAATGAGCGTTCCAAGATGCGTATAATTTAGGTTTCCGGTGAAAAATACCCTGTGAACGATTTTTCGGGACAGACTATGGATACACTTTAGATAGCTTGGAACGTTTCTCAGTCACGTAGACGAAAATATTGGTCGGTTACGGCGTCGTTTTTTTGTTTGTTTTTTTTTCAAACGGTGCTCAATTAGTTTCTTACATATATAATAATCTTTATTTTGTTGTGTCCACAAACAGCACATAGCCTAAATCCCCACTATCCAATACTGTTAATGCGAACTCGGCATCGGTACTTTTTTACGTGCGAAAGTAATGAAGAGCATCTTGAAAAATCAAAGGTGAGGTCAAGAACTATGCACAAACACCGGGGGAGCAGTACCTACTTAATGTAAGTTTGCTCTAGCGTTCAAAACGCTTATGTGTGTGCTCGGAAACTTTTAAAATGGGAAAATCTAGAAAACTCTTACCACCTGCATAATTCAGTCCACAAATAAAAGCAAAAACACACATTATAGTGCGTGCATTTCCGCTGTTTCACGCGTTTTAACCCCTCGAAAAATGGGGTCTTTAGTGGCATATATCTCTCGCAGATTCTCTATATTAGCGTCATCGGTATGCTGGCAGTCCTTAAAGAAGGCCTGCGCATTATCTTATTTCTGGTTAGATTCGCTGCTTGGCTTGACACACTTGATGTGGAACATATTGGACTGGACCCTGAATAATGAGAACTTAAGCATCGCTCAATGATCGAGAAACATACTGTAATTAAATCAATTTGACTGTCATAATGTTAAAATGTTGCGTATACTCTTCGCTACAACCCAAGTAAGAAAGGTAGTTCCTGTTATTAACCGGCGAGGAGACAAAATGCACGCGCGTTTTCCCAAAGGAATGCACAGGAGCGCCGCAAAGGTGGGCTGGTTGCTGTCTCGAACAATTTGAAACCGGAAGTCCCATGATACTACACTCTCAAGAAAAAAGGGTGTAGTTTTACACCCTTTGTCCCATATAATACACCCCAAAACTTGATTTCGGCGTACTGAGCCCTATAGTGAAACAGACGGCCCCTAATTTTACGAGGGGCTTGATAACTGTGCGACATAATATTTTAAATATCTAAAGTACGTATCAAAGACCACAGAAAGAAAACAGCGAGTTTTTACACTTGGGCCAAGAAAACCCCGATTATTATTATTTTTTTTAGTCAGTAACACATACATTAGCTATTTTAATAAGTTGTACCACACGGCTATCAAGCCCCTCGTAAAATATGGGGCCGTCTGTTCGACTGTAGGGCGCTGTACGTCAAATTGAAGTTTTGGGCTGTATTATATGGGACAAAGAGTGTAACGATGCATCCTTTTGTACCCTTTTTTCTTGAGATTGTAGCGCCAGTTGAACCTCTAGCCTGAATTATAATAATTCTATCCATCGCCACTCCGATCGTGTTAGTGAAGGATGTCGAACTTCGCAAGTTTGCACGCCGAATCCACCACCAAATGCAAAAACTGACACCGAACCATGCTCATTTCCTAAAAAAAGAAAAAATGCAGACTCACGTACCTTTTTGGAGACACAAACGAAAGACAACTCCCTCTTCGCCGCTACGCGTGTGGCGATCCAAGCTTGAAAAGTGAAAGTGCGTCCAGCTGCAGCCCCTGAGCAAGGTGTTTTGCTCTCGCTTCACGTGCTTCGTTTCACCCTTACTATGGACCGCGGCGGAAAGCTACGAGCCATTCCAGCTAATCGAGTGCTGTGAACGTGTGACGTGATTACACATTCCGGGCGTCGCTGCGTCACTCTCAAAGGTCGCGTGACGGTCCCACAGCATTAGACTGAACTTTGCTGTCTCGTAGCATCCGCTGCGATTTATCCTAGTGCGAAACGAAGCAAAAAAGTTTGCGAGAACGGTTGGAGAGGGGATCCGGACCGGCCTTGAGTTCGCTCGAGGACAGCTGGAGGCAAACAAACGCGATAACGGTCGTCGTCGGCGCCATCTTGTGTCCTGGTAAGAAACTACACGACGAAGAAACTGAGCGCGCGAAGATCTAAACGAACCTCGCCTGACGGCCTTCGCATTTTACGTCTAATGCCATTATCGGCGAAGTGGCGGGTTGCGGGCATGCTTCCTGCAGGGTCGTCGTGGCGGAGCAATTTGTCCTCTAAGTTTAAGAGGAAAATTTCTCCGTTAGACGTGGCGGCGTCACGTGACATTGTACCGTCGTGTCGCCGACGTATATTACCTCAGTTGTGAAAGCCCTGCTGAGGGAAGTGGCCCCTTCACTTCCCTCAGTCCGTCTCCCGTAAAGGCCCTCGATGTGTTTGCGTTTCTCTTGCAAGTAGAGTCAAACGCGCCACTGCAGGAGGCCCTTGTCTCGAGCGACCCTTTGAAGCAAATTGCGGCGCAGCACTGAAATTAGAGGCCCTTGAATGAGAATGGCGACGGAGCACCCGCTCATGGCTCGTGTCTTGAGCGTTTCGTTTCCACAACAATGGTTAGCACTACCTTAAAGGGGCCCTGCAATCCTATCTAAGCGTCTGTCTTTTTTGGGGATTCCACATCTCTTGTGGTTCGGGCAACCCGGCATGCACGGGGTGAGTCACTAAATATCAGTACGTCATATTATAACCGAAAGGTGTGGAAACCTCCTTCTTTTACGGGGACGCCCCGTGGTGCTGAACGCGCGCGGCATGTGATGAAATCGTGACGTTGTCGGTTCCGTTCGGCTCCTGCCTTACGACCGGACAAAACCGCTAAAAGCTCCTTTTCTTCTTTTTTTCCTTTTTTTTGAAATACAAAATTTTAGTTACGCGAACCATTTCAATTATTTATGAAAGTAGTTTTTCTTGAGTATTTTATATGATGCAAGAAACGAATGCAGTTTAGAAAGTACGGAAACAAGAGACAACGCGCGATGACCCGACCACATACCCCCCCCTCAAGCGGTGGAAGAGGCGGCGCAGGCGCCCCCGCACGGGATTTCGAAGCGCGCCTGCTTGAGGATCTCGGAGGCCATGCCCCGCGGATCCTTCCAGACGACGCACGACGCCGGCAGCATATTTTGCAAGAAGCGAATATACAAATATGTCTCCTCGCGAGACCAGAGGAGGCCCGCCCCAACTTGCATGGAACTTAAGCGCCGTCGAGTCGTGGTCGAGATGCTTCGCCAGCGCGATCCGGGCGTTTACGAGGAGTGTCCTCGTACGGTACTACTCCGAGCTCCGCACCTTTATCGAGGATTCTGAGCTCCAACTCCCAGAGACCCGGTAAATTCATGGCGGCTCTCGCGGTGGAGGGCTAAAGTAAACAACGAGCCGTCGACGCGCATGAGGCTGCAGGGGAAGCGGCCGTCAGAGCAAGCCGCAGCCGATTCGCCAGTAGCTCCGCCTCTACCATTGTCCGCCCAAGCCAGGACCCGGGACGTCATGAAGAAGGCTTTTTTTTTTTGTCTTGTTGTTGTGATGGCTTACGAGAGCGCTTTCACCAGTGTCATGAGCTTGCTAAATTGAAATCTAGCAGAATGGGCAGGTTTGTTAATCGTAAAAAATGTTTAGGGCTCTTCATAGTTGCAGTGTAAGCTGCTGCGCTAAGTCAAACGGCGATCCCTGAGAAATTCCTCTCGTTTTCGTATTAAACAGAACGCGAAACGGCGACACACCATATCGGAGGAAACTCCGATATGGTATGTTTAAGCTGGTATGCTACCTAGGGCTGTACGCAAAAGTGTAGTTTATTGGCGTGTGCTGAGGAATACCGGTTCGTGTGGGGCCGCGGTATCATCTTATTCATGCAGAGTGACCAAGGCATGATTCGATCTGCTGTTGAGCCTTGTGTTTCATCGAGTCCTCCACGCACCAACGCACAGGAGGCTATTCTCCCATGGAGGAAGGCTCTCAGTTACGTTGATGTAAATGCGGTCTGTTCGCCTTTTAAATAAAAATTTTTATTTTGCCAAACTTTTGTATATTTTTTCATACGTTATACTAATCACTGTTCATTCCTTTGCAAATAATCTTGAGCGGATACAAAAACGCCTCCCACAAGCTGTGCTCCGTTTGTAAATATACTACATTCACATTCAACAGCACGGAAGAAAAATATATTTTACAGCTTCACTGGCTTCGCAACATTCCTTAAATCTGTTTTCAATACAATGTTACAAAACATGTCCCACTTTTGTTACAAAATCTTCCATCTGAAAAGAACGTCAGATTGTGGTTAATATGAGCATATTACTTTTCGTAGATTCCTGGCTACCGGAGAATCATTGCAGGATTTGGCCATGAGCTACCGAATGCACTACTCGACAGTCTCAGGGATTCTGAGAGAGACCTTGCCGGCCATCTGGGACTGCCTGCCTCCTGTTGTACTGAAAAAGCCAGCCGTCCCTAAGTGGGAAACGATACGATAGGAGTATTGTGCCAAGTGGAATTTCCCGAAAGCCATCGGGAGCACTGACGGGAAAGCACTTTTCTATAAAGTGCCTAGACAACAGTGGGTCCGATTTTTACAATTATAAAGCGTTTTATTCCGTGCTCCTGCTCACTGTCACAGACGCAAGCTACAGGTTTACTCTAGTCGATGTAGGAGTACAGGGACGCATGTCAGATACCTCTTTCTTCAGGAAAGGTGCCATCAGGCGTCACTTTAAAGCAAACACTCTCGGGCTGCCCTTTGGTGTGTCGCCGGCGACGCCGCTTTTCCATTGAGAACGTACTTAAAGGGATACTACAACCAAATTTCGGCGCTCATTTTTTGGTCTATATGTGTTCGAAAAAGCAGCATCACATCGAACATACCAATATCTTGTTAAAAAAGTCACGAAAAGGAATTTTAAAACGAATTAAACGATTAGCAAAGAGCACCTGGTGGATGTCGCTAACGCCTCGCTTGTAATGCCCGTCTAGGAACCTTGACAGCTAGTGACGGAGGTTGTCTCGTCTCCGGCCGCGACGAGAGAAGAGGGGCAGGAGGAACTCCCCTTTTGCAGAAGTCGCTATTGTCCCCCTACAAGATTACAGAAGATTAACCCGTCACTCAAAATTCGTACAAAAGCAGCCGCTTCCGTGGCTGGAACGACTAGGCCATCCTCTCGACGTCAGCCTCGCCGTAGCTTTGCTCGTTTTGAGACGACCTACGTCACGATTGCGTTGGATGTCACGTGGTCTCCGCTGGGCCTTCTCCGAGCGCTTGCCAGAGTGGGCCATTTATAACGAAAAATACAGCCACCAGGCTCAAAATACAAACGTGCGATTGTCATTTACGGATATTGTGTATCATATTCAACCTATTTTTGAACACGACAGGAATATTTCGAATTTCGTTGAAGTATCCCTTTAATGCTTCCCTACACTGGAAGAAATCTAGATGACAACAAAAAAGTTCAATTACCGTCTTTCCAGGGCGCGCCGATGCGTCGGTAAAGATTCTTTCATTTTAGTCTCCAGGTGGCGTTCTTTCCTTGGAAGAATCGAAGGTGAAGTCGAGCTTGTCACTCATGAGAAAGGTAGCCGTCTGTCTCCATAACTTTCCTATGGCTGACAACTTTTTATACTGTCCTAATGGTTACGGTGACAGGTCACAGGGGTGGGCAGTGCAGAAAGTTCGGTGGAGGCTGACTGTAGCGCAGAATGGCACTGGCAATGCAGCGACCTGAAAGCACCCTGCTCAAGCAGCCATAGATACGAGGGATGAGATCTCAGACTATGTCATGCTTGCAGAAGGCTCTCTGCCACGGCAGCTGGACGTTGTCAGAAGTTGCTAATACGTGACCCTGTGTTACCATTTTTTTTCGCAAACATAGCGTAAGACAATTTTCCGCTTCCCTCCTCTAAACTGCTCTTTTTTGGCATATTTCACTGCACGTGTTAGTCTTGTTAACTATTTGAGTGCCACTTGTGCGTGTAAAAGTTGTTTGCGTGGCTACTTGTGTCAGTCTATATTCTTGAGCCTGATTCGTTTATTGTTCTCCAAGTTTTTTTTTTTTTCTGCTGCAGAGATCTGTTGCAGAGGTGAAAAACATTCCATGTCAGCCATTTTTCTTGGAATTAAAATGGGGGCGCTACATTGCTTCTATGTGACGTTCTTTCTGTCATTAAAGAACAAGGAACCCATAAAAACGCCATTCTTACTGCCTGGATACGGCAGGCATGTCACAAAATAAATGGTCGCCGGTCACGTGACTTTCGAACGGGCTCCATACAAACCAACACCTGGTACCAGAAACAAAATAAAATTAAAGCCGTTTACAACTTCCTGTAACGCCGAATTAGAGCGCAGCTCTTGAGGAGGAGGAGGGAAGGGTACTGAGGGGCAGAGCCGTATATTGGGAGAGTTTGGCTAGTGGGTGTGGCGACGAAGGCGCCGGAGAGGAGAAAGGCAAATGAAAGGGAGGAGAGCGCCGAAGGAGCGAGAGAGAAAAAAGGGAGCAGAGAGGAGACGACCGCCATTTTTTAGCAACGCTGTCGGAGACTGGTCGGAGAAGAGCACTGCTGAGGCTACGCGTCGTCTGCTACGGGCCGACTTCTTTTTCGCCTGAATAAAAGTTTGTGGCCATACGCCGGAAAATGTTCATTTATTAGCTTTTTG